ATATATATATATATATATATATATATATATATATATATATATATATAATAGAAAGATATACACATAGTATTTTCTTGGTGATAAAGTGAGTTATCACATTTATCTTATTGTTGCTCATTGGTCATGTCTCTCCTCTGGAATGTGACCTTGTAAAAATTTTGGCTCTTTTTTTTTTTTTTTGGTTTGTTTCCTACTCCATCTTTTTGGAGAGGTTGGTATCTGAATCAAGTAAGCATTTGTTAAGAGAATGAATGAATGAACTGACTGATACTACACCAGCTGTTGACCCTTCATAGGCTCTTTCTGGGAAAATACTATTTTCCACACATTCTAGTTGTCCTAGATCCCAAGCAGATAATACAAATGTTACTGATTCTAAGCTATGCACTTAATGCTTTCTCTTGGGCCCTCGGTACAGTTGGCTGCCTGGTCCTGTTGGTTTGTTTCATTTCTGAGTATCCCACCCCATTATTACCTCACTAGAAAGGTCTGGCTTGTGTGCATGCATCTGTCTGTGTCTAGAGATATTAAGCTTTGTACCACCACAATGAGTATGTGAGACAAGTCAACTTAAAAGGAAGAAAGGCTTATTTTGCTTAGAGATTCCAGTCTGTGTCTAGTTGGCTCTGTTGTCATCATTGTGGGATCATGTGTCAGAGACACCTGTTCACTTAAGGGACCTGGAGGAAGAGGTTGGGGAAAGAGACTGGCATCTTAATATCCACTTTGAAATCAACTTCCCAGTGCCCTAACTTCTTCCTCTTAGGCCATGTCTCTTAAAGATTGTTCTACCTCATTACCAGCGCCATAGGCTGTGGACCAGTTCTTTCATATGTGCACTTTTGTGGATATTCAAGTTCTAAGCTAGGTAACAAACATCAAAATGCTTCATGGCCAGTCAGTTTCTCTGTCCAGTCACCGTGCTCTCTTTACTCTGTCGGAGTTTTGGTGGCATTCGTTGAACTGAAATTCCATTAAGGCTGACCATTTTCCTGCCCTCAGTTGAGCCACAACACTCTGTAGCCAGGGCTCCCATCATTCACAGAATCAAATAGCAACCGTGTTCACACACTGGCCAGCTGCCTTTCCATCAAGCCCCACCCAGGTGGACTGCACCCTCTTTCAAAAGAGCTGTCCATCTCCTTCAAGGACTGCTTCTCAAAGAAGCAGTGATCCTTGGACAGCCTCTCATATGGTCTTTGCCTTGCTGTGTGTGCGTGTGTGTGTGTGTGTGTGTGTGTGTGTGTTTTAACTCTTAACTATATTGTGAGGCCACGTCTTTGTACAACAGGGATCACTGTCTATTTGAAATGTATACTCAAATTGCTGTACTACCAATTTAGCTTTCAATCCATACTACTTCATGTGGTTGCATATTAACTCCATTTTGTTATGCTCAGATCTGCCCCTCCAGCAAAGCTTTATAGCTTTTTAGGTACTTGTTCCAGCTAGCTACTACTTTGTCACAAACTGCTTCTAGAGTCCATGGTGCAGAATAACCTTTGTGTTACAGTCCACATACCCAAGGCACAGGGAGTCAGGTGATCTTGTCTAGGCCCCCCTGGGCTTGTTCAGAGCTCTGTGTCTTAGTCGGGACTCAGCTCCAGATGAAGCAGAGCTGGACTTGTTAGATGGACAGCTCCCATCCACAGATGTCTTAGGGTTTCTGTTGCTACGATGAAACACCATACACCATTACAAAAAAAAAAAAAAAAAAAAGCAAGTTGGGGAGGAAAGGGTTTATTTGGCTTATGTACTTTCAGGTGATAGTCCGTCACTGGAGGAAGTCAGGACAGGAGCCTGGAGGAACCTGGAGGACAGGAGCAGGGCAGGAACCTGGAGGCAGGAGCTGATGCAGAGGCCATGGAGGGGTGCTGCTTACTGGCTTGCTTCCCATGGCTGAACAAGCTGTGGCAACCCAGGACTACCAGCCCAGGGATGGATGGCACCACTCACCATGAGCTGGGCTCTAACTAAAGATCAGTAATTGAGAAAAAGCCTTGCAGCTGGGTCTCATGGAGGCATTTCCTTAACTGAGGCTCCTCTGATGATGCTAGTTTGTCTGAAGTTGATATAAAACCAGCTGGCACAACAGCTCTCACCTTTGTCTAGAGAGCAGTAGGCTAGCCCAGGCACTTTCCTCTGTTGGTGATGACAAAAGTACAGAAACACAAGTAGACCAGGCAAGGCCTTCTGAAGCATAGGCTAGGCAAGGGCACATTAATCTCAGCTTCCACAAAAGCCAAAACAAGCCTCATGGTTGAACTTAGAATCAAGGGTTGAGGAATATACTCTTTTTTTTTTTTTTTTTTTTTTTTTTTTTTTTTTTTTTTTTTTTTGTAGTAGGAAGAACTATGTGGCTCTAAGAAAGACTGAAGAATTTTGGTGTTTTTTTGCAACTTGCCACACACAGCATGTTTTTTTTTTTTTTTTTTTTTTTTTTTTTTCTGCACAGTCATCTATTCCTTCCCCATTGTAACAAATTGCCCTAGATCAGTAGCTTAAAACATTATTTCATCTACTTAGATTCCATGGGCTGGCTAGGCTGAGCTAAGATGGGATGGTTCATCTCTGTTCTGTGTGTTGTTAGTGAGGCTTGCCTGTGTGGCCATAATTTGACTTACAGGATCTAGAATTCACATGGCTGGCCCCTCTGCTGGTATTTCTAGTTGTCTCTGTAAGCTGTCCAAGATCTCCTATCTTTACAATTTCTCTAGCAGAGTAGCTGAAATTTTTTGTTCTCTCATGGCTATTGCATGGTTCTAAGAACATGAAGCCATAAGCAAAGGCTTCTGGGGAAAGACTCAAGAGCTGCATAAAAATGTTGCCACACTCTTGATCAGCAAAACATAGGGCCAGCCTGGATTGAGTGGGAGCTAGACTAAGCCTCACAATACATTGTAAGAGGCCATGTGGTTGTTGGAGATTGTGTCACTCATCTTTGGAAAGACCCTGAATAATGTGAAGTGCTTAGAAAATACTTGAATAAATGTTTGGACAGAACAGTGGAACAGAAGCAAAGTGTCAATGAAAAGAAGCATCCAGGGTCCAAAGCAGTAAAAATGACAGCACCTTTCATTTTTAGCTATCCTCATATGAGTTGATGAACTCATCAGATTATGGATTTCCCGAGATCCGCTGGCATCAAACAGCAGACTTCGGCTATGTCCCCAACCTGAGGATGCCCAATACTTTCATGGCTGTCACCATGGATCTCTGTGATAGGGACTCACCTTTCGGCAGGTATGGTTTGCTTCTTCAGCTTTGCTCTACTAGTGAATGTTCTTGCCTGTAGTCTTTTACTGTGATGGTCACTTATCATGGGGTGGATTAGACTACGGGTTGGAGCTTAGACATACTATGTATCAGTCATTATGCTGGGATGTGCTGTAATCACCCAGATGTAGCTCAGTGGTAGAATGCTGTCTAACCTGCCTTATGCTCTGAGTTCGAGCCCTAGTACCATCACTCCCTGTGGCTTGTTAGTCTACTTTCTTTTAGAACCCAGGACCACCAGCCCATGGGTGGCATCGCCCACAGTGGGTTGGGCCTTCCCACATCAATCATCAACCAAGAAAATTCACCACCGGCTTTCCCATAGGCCAATATGGTGGGGGCATATTGTCAGTTGAGGTTCTCTCTTCTAAAATGACTTGACCTTGTGTCAAGATAACATAAAACTAGCCAGCGTACAACACAAGTCACGAAACTAATGCATCACTAATTGCTCACAGTGCATCACTAAACTCAATCATGAATATAATCACCTTCAGCGAGAGCAGACCATGGAATTCTAATATGGATGCAGGGAAGAGTGGCATTTTTGTTGTCAGCTCCAACAAATATTTCAAATATGAAACAGAGCCTGATACATTACCTTTAGTTATAGAAGGAACTTGATAATACTAAATGAACAAATAAAAGGCAGACAGACCAAAATGATGAACATCTGATCAGATGAAGGAGGGCTTTTAGTGGCAGGAAATAGATGTTAGCTGCCCTAGGCTCGGGTTATTGCAGCATATTTCAGCAGAGATGATTGATACATAGTAGGCCTAAGTGCAACCAGAGTCCAGTCCATTTCCTTACACCCCATCTTCTCTCCTTTTCCTTCTAGCCCTCTGTGGCTATAAGGTTCTCAACCCATTCATTGAAGGCCAGAGCTTCATCTCTGGTTATCTGTTACTATTGTTCTTAGTGCCCATTGATTTTAGCCAACTTTATCCTTTCTTTCCTCTTTTCTTTCTTCTTCTTCCTTTTTTTTTCTTTAACAACTTGAGACAGGATCTCACTGTGTTGACCAGAATGCTTGAACTTGTGATCTTTCTGCCTCTGCCTTATAAGTGCCACGATTATAGGCATGTGCCACCATCCCTAGAAATTCTTTCCTATCCTTCCTCCTTGACGCTTTCCAGAGGACCCCAGTTTGGTCCCCAAACCCTGCATGGTGGTTCATAACTATCTGATACTACTTCTAGAAGATCTGATAGCCCTCTTCTGCCTCTCTTGGTCTCATGTATGCAGGTTAAACATTCATACACATAAAATAAAAACACACCCTTGCAGACTTATTTCCTCCTCCAGTGCTCTGAATGCTCCCTTTGTAACGTGGTTGTTGTTGAGCTCCAACCCCCAACCCCAACTTGTTCTTCTCCCTGTAGCATCCATCCTCGAGATAAACAGACAGTGGCCTATCGACTGCACCTGGGGGCTCGAGCCGTGGCTTACGGTGAGAAAAATCTGACCTTTCAAGGACCACTTCCTAAGAAGATAGAACTCTTGGCTCAAAACGGGCTGCTCAGCCTCACCTATGACCAGGAAATCTGGGTGCAAAGGCAAGATAACAAGACATTTGAGGTGAGACTAGCAGGGGTGGGGGCTGGAGAAAAGGGGTTAACCTTTGTGGTACTTGGGACTCTTTCCTCACTGAGGCCCTTTCATATCACTGCAGTGTGATGAGCAAACAGCTGCTGGTTAGCTGGGGTGGTGGTGGTCTTACCTCAGAGCGACAAATGTGCAGTTACTCATTATTAGTTTGGACACAAGTCTGATAGTGCAACCAAGGAAGGGAAAGTTGGCTCCTAAGAAACCATACTTTTTCTATTTCTTTTCTCAGGGCAGCCACCTTTGTTCAGAAAATGGCCTTATTTGTACTTTATCTGTGAAACGGTCATTACTCTAAAAATAATCCCCTAAACCTTGGTTGTCTTTTTTTTGTTGCACTGTGCTAAAACCAGAAAATCTCAAGAGTGTAGCATCTCCTTTGGAAAGCTTAAGTCTGGTGATTCCCAGCTTTGTATGAATTGATGTAGCAAGTCTGCTTTCTGCTACTATCCAGCAGGGATCACTACTGTGGAATTGGGGCCACTTATTAAAGAAATTAATTAGACTCTTGTAGTTGAGAGTAGAGACATACTTAGATGGAGAGTGTTTGGGGAACCTGAGGCCACCAGGCTGGGAGATGATGTGAGAAGAGGGCACTGTAGGAGATGGGATAATAGTGACGGGCAAACTCCATGCAGGAGTTTACTGCTGAGGGTACCGTCGGTGTCAGTCCGTGGCTTCTATCCACATTGTCTTCAGGTGAATGTAGAGATGCAAAGCAGGCTCTGTGGACGGCACTGTCCCAGTTGTTAGCTGGCCGCCTGCCTTTCAGCTGGCCCTGGACCATTGTTGAGGTTACCACAGCATTTAACCTTTGGGTCCTGGGCAATTTGTATTCTCTGGATTGTTTTCTAACTCAATAGGGTCAGTTAGCCATGGCTGCTTGGTGTCCTGTCCTTACTGCATAGCTCCTCTGGGAATGCTAGAGAGCCACAGCTGGGTTCCTAGCTTATATGCCTGCTGGCTTGCCATCTGGAGTGAGGGACCACTAGAGAATGTTCAGAGGTCCTATCTCTGAATGCTTGATTATTTTTCCCTGTTTCCCTCAGGAACTTATTAATTTTTTAAATTTATTTGAATCATTCAATTAATTGAACATTAAAGTTCCTTTTTGGTGCTGGGGTCAAACCTACGGCCTTTTACATGCTAGGCATGTGCTCTCCTACCAAGCTACACAGACATTTATGATTAACTTGTGCTGTCAACCAAACTCAATCTGGTATGGGTTCTAATTACTGTAGGAAACTGGCCTTTGGCTCAGAGTGGCCTTACTTTCCCCCTTTTCCAGTACGCCTGAAAGAGCCTCCCAGTTTTCGGCACACTCTTCTAACTTGCCTGGCCTTTCTGTTTTTCTCTTATTAGGTGGCCTGCTGCATTGACCATCAGTGCAAATGGCTTCCAGCGCCCATGAACACTTTCTCCACCCAGACCCTGGTCTTGGGTATCAATGTTTGTTTTGGCACAGTGGTTGCTGTTCGCTATGCCTGGACCACGTGGCCCTGTGAATATAAGCAATGTTCTGTTTACCACCCCAGCAGTATCTTGCCAGCGCCTCCCTTCACCGCTGTCATTACACACCAAGATCCTAGACTTAGGGCAGGGCTATCCAAACACCTCTGGAGGAGTACCAGCTCTTTTATACAAGGGCGATTCCTTTAGGTTTGGGCATTTAGGAGTTTAAATGATAACTGTTTGTTTGTTTGTTTTTCAAGACAGGGTTTCTCTGTGTAGGTTTGGGTGTTCTGGAACTCACTCTGTAGACCAGGGTTGCCTCGAACTCAAGTGATCCACCTGCCTCTGCCTTCCAATTGCTGGATTAAAAGCGTGGGCCTCCACCACCCAGCAACGGCTATTGCTTTTAAGGGAAATAAATGCCTCGTTGAATAGCTCCCAGCTAGAGATGCTAGTTGTGTTCTGAGTTATGTTCCTGTATTCTGAGATGAGCAGTGCCTAGCAGACACTCGAAATGCTCATTTTGTCCCGTAGTTAGCCCAAGCCTCTGTGCTGGTCTAATTCTGAACTACAACATTGGGCCTTACTAACATTCACTTCCTTGGTATTGTTGGGAGTGAAATGCCCCATTTTTGCCCCTTCATCCAGAACTGTGGACTCTCAGGCCTGCAAGAGACTTTAAAGGCCCTGGAGGCTCGTGCTTTGTATGTTCTTTACAACCCCCTGAAAACAGCTATGAACGTTTCCATGTGTTTCTTTCTGTGGAGCTGAAATTTTTATTTCATCAAACATTACTACCCCATGACCAATCTTTTAGGCCTCCTTAGACAGACCATGTTTTTGTATCTTCATTAAGCTGCCGCAAAATAACTTGATTTTAGCCCAAATCTTATTCTAAGGCGAATCTTTGAGACATTATCAGTCCCATGTTTAGGCCTAATGGCAGCTGCTAAGGATTGGCCCTACAGAATAGAGAGAGAGGCAGGTATTCAGGCAAAGGATGGGGAAATCACAGTCATAGGGATACATGGGGTAAATAGGTCCTAAAATATGCCTCGGGTCTCTGAGAGGTAAAAGTTTAATGAAGGCTAATCTCCGTTGAAGAAAAAAGTTAGGCTAAAAGGAAAGTACAGGATAAGCTTACAGAACAGCTCTGCAGGTGAAGCAAAGGTAATGATACAGTTTACCATTTAAGTAAAGCCAGCTGGCAGCTCTGAAAAGTGCATCTATTAGACACTGGAACTAAGCCTGGCGTGGGTGGTGGTGGAGAGGTGAGCTGGTCTACACAGTGAGTTCCAGGGCAGCCAGAGTTACCCAGAGAAATACTGTCGTGATGCCCTCTCCCCCGCCCCCTACCCTCCAAAAGAAATCGGAAATAAAAGTATTACAGTTAGTGGCTATAGATCCAGTCAAATTGTTAAGGGTCAGTCTTAGAATGTGCCTTTGAAGCATGGGAAAGGAGTGTAAGTGCCACCTGCATAAAGCTTTCTTGTTCTGTTGATGTGAGAAATGGGAACTGAAGAAATGAGCATTTCTCATCATTCTGTGGGGCTCTGGTGCCATGAGAAGTGGCAAGAAAGATGTGTCAGGAGTTTATTTGGTAAAAAACAAAGACAAAAACCAAACAAACTATACATTTTGTTGCACGGGCCTTTGACCTCTGAGGATTTCTAGCTTACATTTAACTCCTTTGCCCTCTTGCATCTGGCCCATGAAAACAGACGTCTAGTAACCATCAGTTCCTGAGAAAAAGTAGAATCTACCTGTGTCCCTCTGCAGCACCCTGCTGTTAATCTCACTGAATGAGAAAGTAAGGATCGTTACCAGATTCTTTGGTCAAATTATGCAAGCTTTATTTTCTGTCAGACAGGGCTACCTGCCTAAGGTGGGGTTTGAGAAACTAGCACCGAACACGGGAGAGGATGGGCTTTATGTAGTTCAAAAAACCCACAATAGAGGTTTTTCAAGGATTTCCAGAGGAATTCTGGCTGTGTGTACTTAGCTGTACATTTCAAAATTATTGGGCAGAGCATCTTACCAGGGTACATTTAAGGTGTGAGTCAAATTCCATAGGGTAGGGAGAAATTCTAGAAACAGGTTAAAGCATGCTCAAGCTTGAATTTTGCAGCAAACAGAAATGAACTTATTCTGATCTTATAACAAGATGGCTTCCACCCTTAAGCTGGAATCAGGCTTGGTCTATCACTGGTACACATGCCCGTGTTCTGATATGAAGGCTGGTAGATGTACCCAAGAACCCCAAGCCCAAGTTCTCTCATACCCAAGAACTGGAACATACAGTACAAACTTTGTTTCAGGTAATGCATTTAACAATAACGTTTGAATTAAATTTTTAGTGGTTGAATAGTTTAAAACATTGTTTGGGGATTGTGTATTTCTCCAAATGGAGAGAATTTGTAGCTATTTGAAAATAATCACTGACTAGAAAGAGTGTAAGTAAAAAAAACAGCCCCAAATCATCACTGAAGGAAAAACACTGCCATGCTGAACTTTGGCCTGGCTTATCTTGTATTGTATTCCTTATAGCGTATGTATGTATGTATATAATAGTTAATACCAACCTTTCCATGTCTGAAATTTTTTTGTGGGATATGAACTTAAAAGATATAGGTGTTGACAATCCTTAAGTTTTGTTGTTGTTTTTTTTTTTCTTTCTTCAAATTAATTAATTATTTATTTTTTTGAGGCTATATAGTGCTGGCTGTCCTGGAACTACTTAGATCAGGCTGGCCTTGAACTCATAGAGATCCACCTTCCTGTACCTCTGAATTACTGGGATTAAAGGCGTGTGCCACTATACCCAGCAACTCCTTAAATTTATGCAGTTAGTGAATTAAGGTTTGTGGTTCAAAAATTGTGAGCCTGTGATAATCCACTGAATTGTAAAAAATGTCTTTTGAGTCAAGAGTCTCACTTTCAGTCTTGGCTGGCTTTGAACTCACAGATCTGCCTGCTTTTCCATTGCTTGGATTAAAGGTGTGTAATGCCATGTCTGACTTAAGATGAAACTTTGTTATTCAGGTTGTAATCCAATGGGCCGATATTTTTATATGGTAAAAGGAGCATGCTGTAGTAACTTGACACGCAAACACGACCAGTTCGCAGGACTATTCTACTTGTGTCCTCTCTTCTTCCAGGCTGGCAGACATGGAGCTATCAACAGCTCAAGTAATACGGTACACTGATGCAGAAGTAGGTGGTATAGAAAGTCCCGCCCACATTAATGCTGTATGTAGGGTCCAAAAGGTACAGCTGTGTAGAGTTTGGTCAAAGTGAAACAACTTGGGTCTATATGGAGGAAGGGAACCGATCTTCAGCTCTGTCATAGCTGAACATGTGTAAACAGTGGGTAGAAGCATTCTTCAATAAGGCTGAGTTAAGAGGACTTTATACCCTCAGAAGAGGTGTTAAATTTGACAAGAAAGGACAACCAGGCCTGGGCTGTACAGGCTGGAGATCCCATACCCTATCAGAGTCAGGTGTATTAAGTTTTCAGCATCTGTTTACTTCATGACATGATATGGACTGGATCTGTTAATCCCAACCCTTCATAATGTTACAGTTATACCCTTACGAAGGAAAGGAGGTCAAAATGGCTCTGCATAAAATTAGTTCTCCCTTCCACCATGCAGTCATAGCAAGACAGCTATCTAAGAACCAGGGGACAAGCTATCACCAGACATCTTGAACTTTGACTTCCCAGGCTCTCAAACTGTGAGAAATAAATTTGTTGTTTATAAGCCACTCAGTTTATGTTATTTTTCGATAGCAGCCCAAACAGACTAAGTGCCTTTATAAAGATTTAAATTCACCTCAGGGAGAGCTAAGCAAAAGTGATCATATCCCAACTATAAGAAGATAAAAATAAGCATAACTGTCAAGAGATATTTATTACTAAAAATAAAAGCAACTGAAGTTTACCCAAGGGTACACTGTCAGCACAGGAATATCCACAATGAAATGTGTTTGTATCTTCCCTGCTTCTCGGCTGCTGCCTTCTTCCGTAGAGCAAGTTTTAGTTTAAATTTAAAACTCATGATGATGAAAAGGAGGTGGGCTCTACCCCTTTCCTGTTCAATCTGAAGACTGAATTGGGCTACACTGTGATGGAGACTTCAGGTGCTGCAGGTCAGTATCTACCAAGGGTTCATGTGTCAAGAACTCTGGCTGGTAAGATGACACAAAGGCTTCATGCTGAAGCTCAGGTAGGTCCAGAGATCCTGGAAATAAAACAATTTCTTAATTGCACCATTATCTGCGAATCTCAGGACTGTTTTGCTGGGATACATACACAGCCTTTTAATTTCCTACACTTGTACACGTCAACCCTGTTTTGCCCTTGGTTGTTAAGATAGGTATTTACTGTAACAATGAAAATAGATAAGTAGATGTAGTGATCTGTAACACACACAAGTACTGCATGACCTTAATATTCCTGAGCTGCTGATCACTTTCCACTTATGGGAAATGACCCAAGCAACATAGGTAAGGCCAAAGCCACTACCACCTTTGACTTCACCTTAAGTTTTATTCCCTGCACAGCAACCCCTCCCAGATTATATTTGTTCTCACTTAAGTTACAGAACAAGACACTGAAGTTTCTTGGCAAGTTCTGTGAGAAACATGGGAGCTCCTGGCAGGCTTCAATCTCCCTTACTCCGCACACTCTATGGCTGTTTCAGTGAAGAATGCTATTTACTGCCCAGCAATGTCTCATGAGGATACAGTAGTCTAAAGATGGTCAGTTCAAACCAGAAAGGCAAGGTTAAAAAGATACCTGGCAGAATGGAATCATCATGGTCATCATCAAATGTCTGTGTCTGAAAGGCTTCAAGGCTCATAGACGCATCGTTCTCCGGCAGTTCCTGGGACAGCTGCCCCTTCCTGGGTTTGCATGAATCAAATTTCACCCACTGGTAACTGTGGACCAAGGGGCATCATTCTTAACAGCTGTCTGTTAGTTCATAATAACCCTTTCTACCAAAGGGCTCAAGTTATTTTTTCATTAGGTCTTTCCTGCTATACCTAAAAAATCAGCTGAGAAAAACAACCCAAGCACACTTGAGCAGACAAGCCTCTGATGACAGGCAACAGTGTTCTGCAGTGCACGCAGAAAATAGCACAAACTGAGCAGCCTGAACCTGAGATTTCAAAATACTCCACATTTTGAGTAGCCCTGAAAAGTCATAGATGGGAATTTCCATACCCTAAATGGGATGGTCACAGTTAAAATGAAGATGCACTAATACTACATAAAAACTGTATCCAGGGTATATGTATAATCTGTATAGGAAACAACTGATTTCCTGGAACTATCTGAAGACAAGGCTGGCCTTGAATTCAGAGATCCACCTGCCTCTGCCTCCTGAGTGTGGGAATTAAAGGTGTGCACTACCATGCCTGGGCTACCATATAAAGTATTGAAAACCCCAAACCAATAAGTCACATCTCAGTCACTTCTCATGGCAAGCATTCTGAGTAAGGATCAACCTGGCATGTAGCACACCTGTCTGGGTAGATAAGTGGGTCAATGTTCTGGTGCAGAGAAGCAAGCACACCTTTGACACAGAAATGCATATGCCAACAAAGCAGTAACTTCCAGTGTAGGACGCTGGCTAGCTGGCAGGTGAGTGACTACCAATGTAATGGGTTTGCTTTCACTTACTTGACACAGTTTTGAGCGTCTGGACAACTCTGTATCAGGTTGTGGATGGTTGGATGAGAAAACCCGAAGAAATCAGCACCACATGAGAATGGGTTAGGCTGCAGCTTCCCCCTACACAGAAGAGAGAACTTTAACTTGAAAGCTAAGGAGGAGATGGAGCCAGGCTTAAGAGCGGAATGGCAGCATGAACAGATGTTTTATTTAAGCTTTCCTAATGTAATGATGGCTAGCCTCTTAGGAGTCTGGAGGATATAGGTTTCTATAAAGCAAGAGCTCCCTAAGCACTGGGAGAGAAGATACCAGCTGCAGCAATAGTGATCCTTTCGGTGTGTCTTCAAACTTACGTTGTAGCACTGATGGCCCTGAGCAGTTCTTCATAACAAGCATCTGCAGAGGATCCGACGATGGTGTTGTGGGGGTCATCTTCAGGAACGATTTCAAACTGAGAACAGAGAACAATGAGGTCAATTTGCCAGGGTGGAGAAGTAGAGTTATATGATCCCTGCACTATTCCCAGTCTCCAGAGATGAGGCTGCTGCACAGCGCACTAGGGGATGGGCATAAACGGCTCTTAAAATGCTCCTAGGAACTCAAACCCACATAAGGAGGAAATCGCGAGGCTCGATTCCCTATGTCTTGCTTGACTTTTGGTCAGTGGTCGGCACTGAACTGCTCCCACCTTTCTATCTTCCTACAGCCCTAAGTCCCAATACAAATGGTACTTTAGAAAAATGGCATTCCTGTTCCACGTTATCCTCTGTTTCTCTGGGAAACACAAGAGTACCTGGAAATACCCTGGGCCAAAGGGTACATTACCAATTTTCACCATGTATTTGTTTTTCTTCACTGGATATATGTAAACGAAGTTACTTAATGTTGGGAAAAATCAAGCTGAATTTTTATCATAAATCACATTAATACTTAAAAATAGAATCTTGTTTGATTAGTGACCTAAGAATATATATATTTTTAATTCTACTGAGACCCTGATTGGATATGCATTGTATTTACAGATGTTCAAAATATGGTACACTGCACAATGCTAAGTTTTTCTATTAGCATACTTTGAGAAGCACCACGGTATGGTTGAGATGATGTCACACAGCAGCTCTGTCTGTCAGAGTGCCAAGAGTGATGCAGTTTCCCACAGTTAGGAGGTTCAGAATCTCCTTCTAATCAAGGGTCCTTACCTTGCCTCCAGCTCAGTTTTCTTGATTGGTAGCTTTATCAGAAAGTGAACCAAGGAACTCTGAAATGCCTGTTTTTGTCCTTGTATCTTAAGGTGAAGCAAGAATATACCAAATAATCTTCCCTGTATGCACTTGAACTTAACCTAAGCCTGACATAGTTATGTGTGATAGAAGTACTGTGGCTTAAGGAAAAGGTATCACCTGGAGAATTAAATAGATTTGTGTCCCAGATCAAACACTCAGAAGTGCAGATCTCTCAGGGCTAGCCAGTTTCTCTGCATCTTGGTGTACAAGTGGTGACTGCAGAGTATCTTACAGCAGTGTCAGAATAAGTAACATAGCTAAAAAAAAACCAAGGAAATCAGAGGTTCTCAAAACAGGAAAAACAGAACAAATAAAGGAAAATAATGGTAATGGAGTGAGTACCTGAGGCTGTACTCCACCATCCTTGATCTGACAGGTGTATAGGCACTTCTGGTCTGGGCACTTCATGCTGGAGTACACTCGAGTACTGCAGTAGCCCACAGGATAGATGGCACTCTCATCATGGAAGCCAGGTCGGTTGGTGACAATCTACAAAAGATTCCCCACGTTTGAGTTCAGGTAAGGTAGAAGCCCAGTTTACTATGGTAGCCTTTAAAGCAACTTTGGGGCAGCAAAGAGTGACAAACAGAGAAAGTATCAGCTGTGAGCAGATAAAACTGACCTGGTTTTATAGGGACTAGAGATTTTCTGGGGTTGGTATGGATCAGCAAGGGGGTGCTGCCAGTGGGAACAGGGAAAGCTCAACCCCACTCCCATGGCTCTGATTACCCTATCTATATGCTGGTCTCACTCACCTCCCCCAGGCTATATACTGTTAGACCCCCTAGTCCGATGGGGAACACAGGCCGTCCTGAGGAATCCAGGGCAATGGGCCGGACCAGCTTGCGAGCACCTCCCTCCATTTTCTTTTTCTTGGATGTTTTCTTCAGAACTGAAATGCAAATCTGGGGTCACTCACTTTACATCCCAGTGCCAAAGAGAAATTAACATGCGAATGGTAAAGGCAGAAAGCCAATCTTCGTTTGTACAGATGCTTTTTAAAATGGGATTTTATACTGTGAGTCCACGGTAAGTTGAAAATACTGTATATTAATTCATATAATAGACCTAACTGAACATCATGGCAGCAGAGTACACTGTGGAGTGTCAAGTGTCTCCATGAGTGCTAGTCTGTCTAGGAGCTATGCTTGAAGGCATTAGGTAATGTCAAGAGTATCACCCTGCATATCACTATCCGAAGAAAAGACCAAAATTGCAAGTCCAATTTTTATTGAACATACCCTGCTTTTATAACATGGTAAAGCTGAGAAAATCAAGTTGAACCATTCACTGCTGGTGAGGTACCATCTCTATTCACTAAATAGCCACACGGGCCTTTCCCACCAAGCCCAAGTATCTAACTTGCCTACTAACAGTAACCAACTTTATAATATGCCATAATCTTAAACTTTTAAGTTCTCTTTAACTGTAGTACAACCATGAGTTCCTGAGCAGTGTGTTCATAAGGCCACTGAGCCCATTTCCCTGCCTCAAGGAAAGACTGCAGTGAATGCAGTACGGAGAGCAGAGGCCTCAGCCAGCTTATCCTCACCTGTCAGGTCCAACCTCAATCTTTCCAAAGTGGCTCCAAGAAGACACTTGCTTCTCGAGGGACTTTAGGGAATGCTCTGAAACACACATGGCCACCTGTGTCTACCAGTTAGTTCTATCAGGTCTTTGTCATTAGGAGAGCCACTGAAGCAACTGCGACACTATCTTCTTAAAATACCTTCCAGTTTGTTGTTCTCTTTGCCCTTTTCTTTCTTCTCCTTTTTGGATTTCTTCCCAAATGGTTCCTCGGTCCCTGTACTGGGCCCAGCTCCCTGGATCGTTCCCACAGAGCTGGCTGAAGCATAAGCCAGGGGCAAGCTAGAGCTGTGGGAAGGAGCTGCAGCCTGTGGTTCCCCTTCAGTGAGAGCATGAAGCTGGAGGAGCTTCTTCAGCAAGAATCTGAGGATGGAAGAGAATGTGAGGAGAGACATCAAGTTCTTTTTTTTTTTTCCTCAATTCAATATTTAAGTAGCAGGAAGTATAAACTTATATACATGGATTATCATGCTCAAACAATAAAGTTCTTATTGGAACCTGGAGACAATGAAACCCTGGAGGATAATCAGTACTTGAAGAAATCAGGAAACAGCTAGAGCCTCTCTTGCACCTGCAGGGATCTTCTACTTTCAGGGTGGAAGGCCTGAGGTGTCTGAAGGGTATTCACATGAATTAGAGGTATTCACATACCCACTGTAGTTTGCACAGGGAAGATCAGACCATTGAATATTTGTGGAATGAGAAGCAGTGTTTTATAATCCTTGTTTTTCATAACTGGGAAGTTATAGTAAGATTGCTTATTACATATAGAAAGAAGGCTTTGTCAGAAAGATGAGAGGAAGAATACTGCTGCTATCAGAGTCCAAAAATCTTGGGTGGGAAACACCAAACAGGTTCAGAGTTCTGTATTGCTTTTGTTATGCCCAAGTCTCACAGACCCCAAAGACCACCAAGGAGCTGATTCTGATGCAAACACTGTAGGGTCTTTTTTATTACAAGCTCAAGCTTGGGCCTACACCCTCACTGACACAGCGGTTGAGTGTAGAGCCCCGAGCTCAGGGGTAGGAGGGTTTATATTTAAGGTTATAGCAAGGTTTGGGAAATTCCAGTTAGGCAGTTTTATGATTGGTATTTAACAAATATTGAGTGTCTGGAGGAAATTGTTTGCACAGAGGGCCAATTGTTTTACTCATCCTATTGAAAAGAATACATGGATAAGTTCCAGGTATTCACTGATTAGCCATTGCTAGGGGTGATGATTAAATATTACTGGGTTTTCTCCAGGCTATTCCCTGAGTAGGGGATTCTACTGTCGTCTTTCTGGAATTGGTGACCTATGGCCTAGTTCCTGGGACTGGTGGCTTTTGGGGTGAGAGAGGTCAGGCCTGGTTCTTTCACCTCAAGTGGTCAATGTGTAAAAATCCAATATAGAAAAAATATCAATCACCATAATAAGTCTCAATTAATATCCATGTCAATCATCAATAATAATAATAACAGCAACAGCAAACTGAAGTTGGCTTACCTTCTTTCTTCTTTTGCTTTAAGAAATTTTTCCTCAAGGCGAGCAATTTCATCACAAATGGCAGCATTTTCCTTTAAGGAAAAAAAAAAAAGACTATAATCACATAACATAAATTTAAAAATTGAAGCTATTTCCTGAGAACAAGATCTGTATCTCAAACTAAAACACCCTCTGTACTGCAGGATAAAAAGAAGTGCTATTTTACTCTGCACATACCCTACTAAGATGTCTGTACAGGACAGGCGCTGTGGAGATGGCTCAGCAGGGAAAGGTGCCTGCTATGCAAGCATGCCAACTTCAGTTTGATGCCCAGAACTCAAGGTGGAAAATGAAACTGATTCCTAACAGTTATCTGCTAAGCTCTACCTGTGCTCGGTGGCACACATACCATTAATAATAATTACGGAAAAGTGTTTGGGTTCTACTACAGTCAGAGTAATTATGTAATTTTTTATGCAACGAAGGGACGCCACTGGATGAACACAGAACAATATGGTACACCAGGATTTGCATACCTTTGGCAAATCAAGGAATGTGATTACTCCAGTTAGTGTAGCCTTTGGCAGAGAAAAGGATATACTACTTGGACTTAATTTATACCACTATAAAACAGCCTTGACCTTGGCAAAGACAGTCTAACCTAGAGTATCATACAGAACAATACCTTAGAAAAAAATGGATGAAAAGAATATTAAATATTGTGTTTAAAATTAATTATTTATTTGTATATATCCAAGTATCACCATTCTTTACTGATGACTCAGTCTGTCTTAAAACCAATTCTGAATGAAATGCCCTTTTGGGTGTTTCACAGGTGGAATTTCAAATTCATAAGATCTTCGTGTACTTAAAAGAAAAACATCCTTAAATAACATATTTGAAGCACCGGGCAACTCTAACATGAACTGACAACAGGGAACAGTAAATAAAGTGTTGCGTTACTGACTTGCTCTTATTTTATCCAACACACATACAAGTGTTGAATATTTTAGGAACGACAAACGTGAAGGCAAAACTTTCTCTGATGCATCGACGAAGACCTAATTATGTTTAACTGAAAATTTTGTAGAAAAAAAAAATGAGCTAAACTACTGATTCAGATGTGTGAGGGCATTTGGACTATTTCCAAGCACTGAGGTGAATGGTTAAGTCAGAACAGTCTGGTTATAAGACTAACTGACTTAGACCCTAATATGTTTTGGTTGGTAAAGCAGTTGATTCACTAAATCCTTCCCTACAATTAAGGCAGAAAATTAAGAAAATTAAGGCGATAAACTTGGGCGGTAGCTGCTTCCTCAGGTGAGATCCATTTCAGTACCGGGTGGAGAGAAGGCAGAAACACCTAGGAGCCTGTGTTCTCGCCTCGAAAGATACTTAATACTTAGTTCATCTGGAAACTGAACTGTAGGAAAAAGGTTAAGGGCTAAAGTTTACTGGCGGAGAACTTCGCAGTCCTCGTTTACAGGAGTAGATGGGACCAGAGGCGTAAGTTAGCCAAGGATATGCGACTAATAAGGAGGTAACTAACGCTGGACTGGTTAACTGTTTTCCTGGAAGAGGAACAGTCGGGGAAAACGCTCCCAAGGGAGGGAGCGGCTGAGCGCAGACTCACAAACACTGTGGCCTTGGCCGCTCTGCGCAGCCTCAGGTACTTCAGCCGGTACTTTTCGTTCTGGCTCTTCCGCGGGAACTTTTTCATCCTGGCTTTGCTGGACAGCGGGGTGCGCGGCTCGGAAGGCGGGCCACCCAGCAAGCTCATGATCCGGCCCCAGCTCAGGAGCCTCGGGCCGCGGGAGCCACGGAGCGGAGGCTCTCCGCGCACTCCCAGTCAGCTCCCGAGGGCTGCCCCACCGGAAGTTGCGCAAGAGCGCTGCCACGTGTAACTTCCGGGTGGGCGAGCGGTTGGACGAGCGGTGGGCCGGCGGTGGACTAACGGTGGACTCGGCGGAGGGGTGTGGCTCAGGGCGGCAGGGCGGTGCCGAGGCCGGAAAATTCTGGTTCTACCCGGGTGTTAAGAGTGCGAAACAGCGGAAGTACAAAATCAAAGTCCTATACAGACGTTTTGGGTGTAGCTATTGTCTGGACCGTGCGATTCCACCTCTTGATTTCCCCAGTCGCTCAGAGCCGGCCTTTCTGGGTTTTAGGAGACTTTGAATACTAGCTAGTGCGGGAACTCAGCTTTCCGTTTATGCTACTCAAGCAAGTGGTTTTTAGCTGCCATAGGAAAGTAAGACCCTGATTGTCTCAAAACTTAGCATCTAATTAACAGTTTAAATAAAATGTAGGCACAAGGTCAGCGGTCAGTCCTTTTGGAATGAAACCAATAGTGTTTCAAGTACACATACCCTATTTAAAAAGAAAGTGTCTGTGTGTGTGTGTGTGTGTGTGTGTGTGTGTGTTGAGACAGGGTTTCTCTGTGAGGCCCTGGATGTTCTGTACTCGCTCTGTAAACCCGGCTGGTCTCTAACAGAGATCCTTCTGTCTCTGCCTCCCTTTGTGGGATCAAAGACGAGCACCACTTCCCCGGTTATACCCCCTGTCTTTAATATTTAATATTTATAACTAAGTTAAGTTGAAGATAGAAAATTTTTACGGTGCAAGATTGTGAACAGCAGGCTTACATCCTTTTTTTCTTTTCTTTCTCTGTGTAGCCTGGAATCGTTGGCTACAAACTCACAAGGACTCTCGGGAAGCCCACCTGGGTCTGCCTCCCTGAGTGCTGAGATTAAAGGCTAGTGTCACCATCCCTGGCTCTTAGATTCTTTTAGTAGTGTCACAAACTGAGTCTCTTGCTCACAGTTTTGTTTTTTTCTCTCTCTCTCAGAACAATATAAGTAATTAGATGGGTGGGATTTTCAGGCTAGTGTGCTGATAACAAAAGATAATTACTGTTAAATTTTCAAAATCTAGACATTGAAGGTTGTACATGAAAATTAAGGATGTTATGTAATTAATATGTTCTCTGAATAACTAGACAACAATCTAATACTTATAAAAATAACTTAGAATTCAGTAAGTGATCCAGGTATTTCATCTCAGAAAACTGTAAAAATAGGCGCAGTCCTGACAAAATGGAACACAGAAAAAGCTTGTAGATACTCTTCTATGACTGCCCATGTGGCAAGTTGCTTTTGTTGACTTGGTTGGGTCTTCACAAATGCACCTCAGGCAGTCCTGTAGATACAGTTTTGGGAGCTGTCAGAATTATGGTAGCTTATAAAATAAACTGTTTTTGAAAATATATACTGAAATATTATCTTGGAACCTGAAAGCATTTGTGGTAATGGACGTTGACTTTCTTAATAAAAACCACTCCTTTTAATTGCCTGATTTGCTGTCTGTGTTTTGTTCTCATAGACTTTGAGATCTACCTGACTTTATTTGTATTAATCTTCTTCATGTGTCGTGTCTACTGAGGAGGGTAGTCCCAGCCTCTGTTTTAGGCTACAGGCTGTTTCGGCCAATAGACTTCAGTGGAACATTCACAAACATTGTTTCTTCTTCATCAGAGACTTTCTCTTTTACAATTAAAGCACTTTTCTGCAAATTTTATAAATTAAGATATTATTTTATTGGTTGGCTTTGAAAAACTGGGTCCTTACTGGCCTCAAACTGTGTAGGGGAAGATGACCCTGAACTCCCAGATCCTCCTGTTTTACCTCCCCAATACTGGGACTACAGGCATAGGCAACCATGTCCACCTTGGGGAGTTTATTTTTTAAATCCATGAGTTAGGGTCTAAATCAGTGGTAGAACACTTGCCTAGTTAGTTGAAAGGCCCTGGGTTTGATTTCTAGCACTCCAAAATGAATGAATGAATGAATGAATGAATGAATGAATGAATGAATGAATAACAGGACCCACATTCAGATCCCAGAAACTCACATGTGCATACCTCTCGTCTAGATAGACACATAACAAATCTTTGAAAAAAAACTAAAGAAACCCATTTTTCTGAGTTTGAGCCTGTTCATGTTAAACCTTTTTTGTTTGTTTTGTTTTCAAGACAGGCTGTGTAACAACTCTGGCTATCCTGGACTCCATTTGTAGACCAGGCTGGCCTTGAACTCACAGATACTCACCTGCCTCTGTCTCCCCATGTGCTGGCATCACAGGCATATACCTCCATGTCTGGCTAGCATTGTTTTCTTATTTTTTTTCTTGGTGTGTATGTGGTGTACTTATGTGCTTCTGAGTGTGGGGGTGCATTCATCTATGTAGGTGCATATGGAGGCCATGGATCGACTTCCAGATGCCTTCCTCAGTTGCTTTTCCAACTTATTTTTTGAGACTCTTTTTTTTCCCTCACTAAGTCTGGAGCCTATTTTGGTTAGACTAGAACACTGAGTCGAAGGAACCTGCCTGTCTTTGCTCCCCAGTACTTGTGGTTGTAGATGAGCCATGCCACACCCAGCTTTTTAGGTGGGTGGTATGGATCTGAAATCAGCATCCAATACCTGCACATTAAGTACTGTAACCTGTTAGCTACTGCCTCAGTCCTGTAAGCACAGTTTAAATGTCTTATAACGATTTCGGCTATGGCCATATTGACTTCTGCACAATTATTCCTGTGTTGTTTGACTTTTTTGGTCAGTTCATGCAACATACCTCTTTGTGTCAAAGTCTTTTGATGTTGTGTTCCAAATTATGAGATGCTACTGACCAACTTATGAAGGATTAGTACCTACTATGATACAACTGTTAGAAAACTTAATTCAAGAAGGAAGACAATAAATAGGCAATATTGGTGTAATTTAAAAGTATATTTCTGAGGTAGAGTTTGCTTGGTATGGCAACAACCATACCAGCAACTAAGGAAGGAGGTAGTTGAAGTAAGTACTCCTGGGCACCCTAAAGTAGAAGTTGTTGATACAGTACAGGACAGAGAAGGGCACCCCGGAAGCAGAGACTTCACCTCCAAACCCTTAGCATTGTAAAAAGTTTGGGTGCTACAAGTAGCTGCTTACAGTGAAAGCTGTGTGCAGGTGTTATGGGGTCTTCTTGTCTTGTGAAAGGAAAGAATTCGGTCTAGAGACATAGAGTTTAAGTAGAAGTTTATTTAGCAATGCAAAGCAGGCACTGTGAAGAGAGATTCAAGTGGGTTGTCCAATGGTGTGTATATGTGGACAGTAGCCCAGAGGATTCTATGTTGTGGATTTTAAAGGTATCAGAGATCAGTTGCATCTTCATGGAGTAAGGTGATCTGTTTTCCCCCCAAATTATGGTAGATCAGATTTCCTTTTTGGGGGGGCATTTCTTCCCATGATCCTCTAGAAAGATCCATGTCAGTGCTGGATTGGAGGGCTGGCGACAGAAGGACAGTGACAGTGAAGGAGGAAGGGAAGGAGGAGGAGGAAGTGATAGTAGAGGCGGTGTTATCAGAACCACAATGTAAATGTTATCATAATGAAGCTGAGGTTTTTTGAGGACAGAGATCCTTTGCTGGTGAACGTGTGGCAAAGTGCCCTGTGTCTTGGCTTTTGATATCACAGGAACTATTTATCTGTAGCTGCGAGGAGGATGTCTAACCGCCAAGACACATTCTGGTAGGAAGAAGACACAGCCACCAAGATACAGCTGTGGTTTGTTTGTTTGTTTTGGTTCCTTCATATCTACTTTCTTTTTGAGGCTTTTAAAAGTCCACGACTGATCTCATGACTGTCAGTTAAGTAGTACAGCCATTCTGTTAATTTTAAAATCCAAAGATGTGGATAGAGTTTTAAAGCAGCTTGTTAAGTTGTACAAACAAGAACAGGGCTTGGGCTATATTCTAGAACTACTTTCTCTTTGCTCCACTACTTATGTCCATCTTTTACCTAACATGGGAGCAAGAGGAGAGGCTAAATTGATGGGGAGTGTGTAGATCACCAAAGAGCTTCTGTACTCACCGAACAGTTGGAATTTTATTAATGACATAAGACTTTTATTAATGTCACCAGTGAGCATCTATAAGCTCCTGGTTTGTTTTAGGTAAATTTACATTCATTTTTTTTCAGATGAAACATGGCTTTTCTACTTACCTATAAGAAGAGGAGTCTAAATGTCTTGTGTAAAAATCCTCTCAAGAAATACATAATATACAGCTTAAAATATTTATTAAGAGACACCATGGGTACTAATATTTATTAAGAGATACTGTGGGTAAAGCACAGTCTTTGGAATCAGAGCAAAGCTTTGACAGTTAAGTGCAAGGATGGAGTTGTAACTGGAGAATGTACAGGTTTATGATATGTTCATCTTGCTTACCATTTATTTATTTACGTATTTTTGTTTTTTGTATGTGGAGACCGGGGCTAACCTGAGGAGTTGGCTCTCTCGTTTCACCATTTGGGTCCCAGGCATTGAACTCAGGTCATCAGTCCTGACAGCAGGTTTCTTATCCTACTGGTCTTCAGTGGTTGGCAGTCAGTGAAGGTATAGTATCCCTTAAACATTAAGAACACACCTAGACTCATTAAGACTTGTGAAGATGCTCATAGTCCATAATCTGTGGAAAGGAATCATCAGTTGATATAATAAAAAGTTCATCTGACTCTTAAAGACTCCACTCATGGCCTTTGCCTCTGTCCTTACATCCCAAGAGCAGATTATAAGTTAAAGCCATCATTATTTCTTGTCTCACTTTGCAGGCCAGGGGGCCTTAGCAAGGCTGAAGACATCCACACAGCAAGATAAGCAGGCCAAATCAAAGTGTTCAGGGGTTAATATCTTTATTAATCTCTTATTAAATTGCTCTACCTGCTTATTAAGCATGACTTCTAGAGTTAGTGCATATTGTGAGACTTTTCCTCCATAAATGTCCTTTAGAATCCTTCTGTGTTCCACGTCTGCACTTCACTTCAATTTATCCATCATCACTGTCCTCAGAATGCT